TTATCTTGAGATGATTTCGGGGCTTTTAGTGTCCCCGCGGCCCGGTCCTCGACCAGGCCTCCACCCCCAGGAAGCAGCCCGTGACAGCTGACTAACACCCAGGTACCTATTTTACTGCTAGGTAACAGGGGCATAGGGTGAAAGAAACTCTGCCCATTGTTTCTCGCCGGCGCCTGGGATCGAACCCAGGATCACAAGTCCCGCGTGCTGTCCGTCACTGTCACCACCAGCCTGGAGGTGCAAGTGTCATGTTTAGTGTTCTTAGTATTTTAGTATTTAGTACTCTGTCCTCAGTAATTTACTATTTATATTATTATAGTATATTTAAATATTTACATCTATATGCTTAGCCCTCATGTGCAGGTACTTACTGTATGGTGGAGGAAGGTAGTCCCAAGTCACTTGTTGTTGACCGTCACCTTGTCCCCAGGTCACTGGCTGGATGTGTCCAGTTGCCAGTTCCTTGATCTTAAACCACATCTTAATCCCTGATCAACCAGGCTGTGATTAATATCAGGCTGCGAGCAGGTGTGTGGAACAGCCTGGTTGATCAGACCTGGTTTAGTTAGAGACCGGCCCGTGGGGACATTGATCCCTACAATCATCGAACGATAAGGTAGTTGATGCTTTTATACCTGGGGTTGTCGTTACGGTGAAGCAGTTGGCACTTAGCAGAGACGCTGCCTTTAACATGTATATCATGAGACCGATACGTAGCAAGACGGACTCTCCTACCTTGTGTAGCTTCCGGGGACCAACAGCTCAGCGGCCCTGTCTCCGACCAGGCCTCCCGGTTAGTCGTCTGGTCAACTAAGCTGTTGGACGCGACTGCTCGCAGCGTGACGTATGAATCACAGCCTGGTTAATCAGGATTTGGAGGTGTTCATCGAGTTATCTCTTGAACACTGCGAGAGGCCGGCCAGTTATGCTCCTTAGGTGTAGCGGGAGAATGTTGAGAATTCTTGGGCCCTTTATGTTGATAGTTCTCCCTCAGCGTACCTATTGCACCTCTGCTTGTCAAAGGAGGTATTCTGCACATCTTGCCATGCCTAGTGGTCTCATGTGGTGTAATCTCTGTGTTCAGATTTGGAACCAGCCCCTCTAATATCTTCCACGTGTAGATTATTATGTATCTCTCTCGCCTGCGCTCTAGAGAATACAGATTTTGACTTAATAGGTCCCAATAATTCAGATGACTTATAGAGTGGATTCTAGCAGTAAAGGATCTTTGCACGCTCTCCAGGTCAGCAACTTCTCCGGCTCTGAATGGGGCTGTAAGAGTGTAACAACATTCCACCCTGGAGAGCACTAATGGCTAGAAAAGTATCATCACTGGTATGGCGTCCCTTGTTTGGAAGGTCCTTGTTATCCATCCTGTCATTTTTCTTGCAGTCACGACAGCTACTTTATGGTGTGTTATAAAGGATTACTAATAGATCCTTTACATTGCTTTTTCGTTCTGTGATTTGATTCCGATTTATATATGGTTTCCATTTTTATTTTTTTCCATAGCACAGGAGCTGGAACTAATTTTTATAAACATCTTATTATCTGTGGCCCACTGAAAGACCCGATTTTACCCGAAAGTCCCGGTTGGAGGTTTGCGGGTCCCACTATATATGCCGGGTCGTCTGAAGGCCAGTCAGTAGCCAAGGTTCACCAGGGGTGGTTTATTTCCCCGGGTGGACAACACTACAGGTTGTATCTGGTGTGTTGAAATTGATTCACAGTAATACACACACACACACACACACACACACACACACACACACACACACACACACACACACACACACACACACACACACACACACACACACACACACACACACACGCACGCACGCACGCGCACGCGCACGCACGCGCGCGGGGGGGGGGGGGAGCCGGTGGCCGAGCGGACAGCACGCTGGGCACGTGATCCTATGGTCCCGGGTTCGATGGGCAAGAGTTTCTTTCACCCTTTGCCCCTGTTACCTAGCAGTAAATAGGTACCTGGGAGTTAGTCAGCTGTCACGGGCTGCTTCCTGGGGTGTGTGTGTGTGTGGTGTGGAAAAAAGTAGTAGAAACAGTTGATTGACAGTTGAGAGGCGGGCCGAAAGAGCAGAGCTCAACCCCCGTAATTACAACTAGGTGAGCACACACCCACCCAGCAAGCAGCCCGTAACAACTGTCTAACTCCCAGGTACCTATTTACTGATAGGTAACAGGGGAATCAGGGTGAAAGAAACTGCCCGTTGTTTCTCGCCAACGCCGGGAATCGAACCCCGGACCACAGGACTGCGTGTGCAGCGTGCTGTCCACTCAGCCACCGCCCCCCCCCCCCCCCGGCGTGTACACGTGTGGGTGTTGGGTGTACAAGTGTGTGCGTCCGTCCGTTCGTTGTGGTACCATATGTACGTTCCCTGGTGTTGCACCTTCCTAGTTTGGAAGGTGCAGGAGTCCGGGATTATCTGTGTGGCCGTATATGAGAGGTTTGGGAGGCTGGTCTTGACCTTTACCGTATGCTGTCACGGGTAGAGCCGGCCCCAGCACCTTGCATCACCACCTGCTCACTTTAAGATCCAAAATTCAAATATGATATATGGTTTTAGCACAGATTTTTTAGTCACAACTTTCTTGATAATAAGGTGCTTATAGCGTATGTGCACATTGGGAACCAGCCTCTGTGATAATAATGTACTCCCTGCCTTCCAGGGGGGGTAAGCCCTGGCTGGCTACCTTGTGGAGGTTGCTCGGATCAACGGTCCTGCGGCCCGGTCTCCAAAGAGGACAAATGAACAAATGATGACAAGATCACAAGTTCAACAAAGACTCCTGTTTGGTCGTCTGATCAACCAGGCTGTTGGACGCTGTTGCGACCAGCCTGACGTATGAATCACAGCCTGGTTGATCAGGTATTCTTCGGAGGTGTTTGTCGAGTTCTTTTTGGAACACAGAGAGGGGCCAGCCAGTTATGCTCCTTAGGTGTAGTAGGAGTGAGTTGAAAAGTCTCGGGCCTCTGATGATGTTAAGAGTTCTCCCTCTGAGTACCTATTGCACCTATTGCTTTTCATCGGGGATGTCCTGCACATCCTGCCATGCCTACTGGTCTCTTGTGATGTAATCTCCGTGTTCCGATTTGAAACCAGTCCCTCTTAATATTTTACACATGTAGATTATTATATATCTTCGATGGCATCTAAGCCTATGTCATGGTGGTTTCGCAGTTGCGTGAGAGGGGAGCGTCCTGTTCTGAACCCGTGTAGTCCAGGGGTATGGAGGTGCTGTCATTCAATGTGTTTTGTGATCATGCTTCTTATTACTCTCTTTAAAGAGTTTGTATAATGTGTGATGTTAGTGCTTATAGGTCTATAATTTTTGGCCTCTTCTTTATTCCTCCCTTTATGGAGTGGTGTTATCTCCGCTATTTTAAGTATGTTGGGGATATTGCCAGCAATATCCTTCAATTTGAGAATTTGTAATTCCCACTGCTGGGGACAGGAAGAATGTCCAGACAAATGCAGTGTTCAAGAGAGAACTGGATAAGCACCTCCAATGGATACCTGACCACCCAGGCTGTGATTCGTACGTCAGCCTGTGAGCAACCGCGTCCAACAGCCTGGTTGATCAGTCCAGCAACCAGGAGGCCTGGTCGCCGACCGGGCCGCGGGGACGCTAAGCCCCGGAAGCACCTCAAGGCAACCAAGGTAATCCCTTGTGAAGAGGATCTGTGTTCAAGCTCTCCTTCCTCACTATACCGAGTGCCTGTGCTATTGGCACTTTGCATTTTTTTTTTTTTATAAATATTGAGTTCCGCGAGTCTGGACCCGGGGCATGTTATCATTCTCTTTCAAAATCTGCAGCGTTCGTGTTGATATCAGGTATAGTTTCAGGGGTTTGGATATTACATACAAAGAAGCTGTCCGTACCTTCCACTTTCATGCTGTTCATTGGGGGTGCTAATAGGCAAGTTCTCTCATAAGCAAACTCGCCTGGATGTAATTTTATTATGGCTTTTTATGTTTCTTTCATCTTGATACGCTTATCTAATTTAATGTGTGTCACTTAGGGGAAGTGTTTTATTGAGGGTGTCATTGCTTGGGTGTTGAAGTGTGTCTCTTGCCGTGGTGGGTGTTGGGAGGGAGGAGTGGCAGTGGGAGGGAGAGCGGGGCTCCGAGTGGGGGTAGAATCAACAAAGAGGTGATTGTTGAAGCTGAGGTTGGCAAATTTCCCAGGTGCAGGCGAGGGTCGTCCGCCGGGTCAAGGTTACTGGGGCAGGTGAGACGGAAGGGGCTGCTGCTGCTGCTGCCACACCTGCTCCAGCTACACCTGCTCCAAACCTTAGCAAAACTTGAGCTTTTCCCTTATACTTGGCGTAGAAAAGGTAAAGTACACTTCTCACTGGATCGTATCAAATGTTCGTGATAAGGACAACCTCTTGAAAGTGAGAGGAAATAGGACAAGAAGACACAAAAGGAAGCGGGAAATAAATGTCTAAGGAAATATTCATCGCCCATGGCTTGGTCTCTGACCATTCCTCTTCCTTGGTGGTTTGATCAACCAGGCTGTTGGTTCAGGCTATATACTCCTAGCTTAACGTATAAATCACAGCCCAACAGATCAGGTATCTATTGGAAGTATATACAAAGTTCTCTTTTGAACAGTGAGAGAGCGGTCATCTGTGCGCCACACGTGTAGCGGGTGTGTGTGTTGGAAAGTCTTGGGCCCTCGGTGTTGATAATTCTCCCTCAGCATACCTATTGAGCACCTGCTTTTCAACGAGGGTATTTTGCACATCCTGCCATGCCTTCTGGTATCATGTAATGTTATTTCCGTGTGTAGACATGGAACCAGCCCCTCTTAATATTTTCCGTGTACAATTATGTATCTCCCGCCTGCGCTCTAGAGCATCCAGATTTAAAGATTTTAATAAGTCCCAATAATTTAATGTTTTATTGAGTGGATTCTAGCAGTAAGGAAGCTTTGCATGCTCTCCAGGTCAGCAATTTCACCAGCTTTAAATGGGGCTGTTATTTGGCAACAGTATTCCTCCCGTTATCAGCGTTAGCGTGTCTTACATGGCATCTAAAGCCATGTCAGTGTGGTCAGGCAATTGTACCTGAATGTGGTTCTGGGAGTTCTATTCCCCAAGCCCGGTCCCGGGCCAGGCTTGACTTGTGAGAATTGTAAGAGGCAAAAGTGCCCTGTTTTTAACTCATGCTGTACAGGGTTATGTAGATGCTATGTTTTGTAATTTGTATTTATTTGCAGTCAAAATTTTTTGTGATGTTAGGTTTATAGGGACTAAATAACAGGAACCTTACCCTACCTTGAGGCTACCTTGAGGTGCTTCCGGGGCTTAGTGTCCCCGCGGCCCGGTCGTCGACCAGGCCTCCTGGTCGACCTCCTGGTCGACACCTTACCCTACCTTGCGAACACTTGCCTAACCAAAATTATTTATACGGGTATTTCTTAGTCTTATTCATGTCATCTTTTACTCTTGTTTCTTGATATTAAATTTGAGTTTTGTTTGACAGGTGAGCGAGGCGAGGAGCTGTGTGTAGGCGCGGAGCTTGTAAGTACACTGCCTCAACTGCACACAAACTGTCTCCAGTGTTTTAGTGAATACTATACTTAGGATAGATCAATATGAGAAGGTGTGAGGCCTCCTTCAACTTGATAGTGGCTGGTTTATCGTCTAGTAACATACCATGTGTCTAACTTGTGTAGCTTCCGGGGATCAATGGCCCCGCTTGCCCGGTCTCCGATCAGGCCTCCCAGTTGGTCATCTGGTCAACCAGGCTTGTAGAAAAGTTGACCAGGAGGAATTTACCATTATACGACACCAACCACTTGGCAAGAAATGTGTGTGTTTATCACTCAGAATGTTCCATAATATGTCGACCGTTTGTGATTTGTCTGGTGGTATACAGATACTCCATTATATATATATATATATATATATATATATATATATATATATATATATATATATATATATATATATATATATATATATATATATATATATATATATATATATATATATATATATATAAATTAAATGGGGTACCACCTCTGCGTTTGTAGGGACCGTCGACCTGGAAGCAGACGACATGCAGCATCTGGGGGACCCTTGTACACTCACATATTGTCTCATATCACCCCATATATTTTTTGTATTTTCTCATTATATTTTATTTAAAACTTCATTACACAAAAAGGCGTTACACCATTACCTTACCTGGTTACATGCATAGTACATCCAAAGTTACATCGTACATTGGTTACATCCAAAGTACAAGGCTGGTTGTCAAAGGTTGTCGAGTTCCTCCAGCTCCTCAGATGGCGGAACCATAGATGCAGTGAGCATTTCCTCTATCGCCACACCAAGGTGCTGAAAGAGGAAACTGGCGGCTCTAGGGTCTCCAGTTGTTTCAGTTAGCTTAGAACCCAGCTCTTTCACATGAGACCAGGAGGCATGGCAGGATGTGCAGAATACCCCAATTAAAGAGCAGAGGTACAACAGGTACTCTTGAGAGAGAACTATCAACATCAGAGGCCCGAGACTGTTCAACACGCTTCCACTACACACAAGGGGCACAACTGGCCGACCCCTCACAGTGTTCAAGAGAGAACTTGATAAACACCCCCAAAGAATAACTGATGAACTAGGCTGTGACTCGTACGTCAGGCTGCGGGCAGCGACAGCCTGGTTGACCAGTCCAGCAACCTAGAGGCATGGTCGAGGACCGGGCCACAAGGACATTAAACTCTGAAATCTTGGCAAGGCAAGGTAAGTACCACCCCTTAAGTAACAAAATCTGGATCTTCCAGGTGTAAACTATTGGGAGGCGGAGCGCCCAGCACAATATGCAGTAAGTGAAGAAACACATTTTTCATTGCCTCGTACAAGATGGGGTCATTGACCCCGACCTAGTTACAAAAGTGGCTTTGTACTTGTGTGCGCTTTAGTGTGCAGTGACGCTAATTATCTCGTAACGGTAACAAGTCAATTACAGTTACACGTCACGGAAGGACAGTTTTGTCCATGCAAGCAAGTCATTTAACAAGTAAAAAAAATTACACATTTTTTTTTGTTTCCTTTTTATCATTTGCCGTTACAAGTAAGCTGTGGTTGAGCGTGTTTCAGTACCGCCGCTTTCGTATTATTTGTATTCGTCTGGCAGTAGTCAATACGCTGAGTGATGAGGTGAGGGCCTCACAAGGCAGGCAGTGTCAGTGACCTCTTGACGTTGATCTGTCAGACAGTACAAACCAAACTGTGTACCTCCAGCACTTGAACGATCATCACAGTGACCGGAGTTACCGTGTTGCACTGTACCCGGCTAAGTGTACCACGGCGATGGTGTTGGGGAGGGGGGGAGGGGTGACCTGGTGTACCTGGCGGAGGTTACGGCAGGTGCGCCCACCACAGCCGGGATCATCACCTCTTTCCGGTGGGGCCCTCTACCACCCCCGAGGCACCACCACCCAGGGGCACCACCCCCAGGACTGTAGTCTTCCGCTCGTCTCCTCCACGGTGGAAGTTCATACCTGGGGGGGGGGGGGTGGCTAATAGGGAATGTCGTCAACTGATCCCACTCTTCCTGGTTCCTGCCATCCCCGCATCCTCCGCACACACGCGGTCGCCAGCACGCCCACTGTCACGTCTGGTCGCCAGCACGCCCACTGTCACGTCTGGTCGCCAGCACGCCCACTGTCACGTGCGGTCGCCAGCACGCCCACTGTCCCGTGCGGTCGCCAGCACGCCCACTGTCCCGTCTGGTCACCAGCACGCCCACTGTCACGTGCGGTCGCCAGCACGCCCACTGTCCCGTCTGGTCACCAGCACGCCCACTGTCACGTCTGGTCACCAGCACGCCCACTGTCACGTCTGGTCACCAGCACGCCCACTGTCACGTCTGGTCACCAGCACGCCCACTGTCACGTCTGGTCGCCAGCACGCCCACTGTCACGTCTGGTCGCCAGCACGCCCACTGTCACGTCTGGTCACCAGCACGCCCACTGTCCCGTCTGGTCACCAGCACGCCCACTGTCACGTCTGGTCACCAGCACGCCCACTGTCACGTCTGGTCGCCAGCACGCCCACGGTCACGTGCGGTCACCAACACGCCCACTGTCACGTCTGGTCGCCAGCACGCCCACTGTCACGTCTGGTCGCCAGCACGCCCACTGTCACGTCTGGTCACCAGCACGCCCACTCACGTGCGGTCACCAGCACGCCCACTGTCACGTCTGGTCACCAGCACGCCCACTGTCACGTGCGGCCACCAGCACGCCCACTGTCACGTGCGGTCACCAGCACGCCCACTGTCACGTCTGGTCACCAGCACGCCCACTGTCACGTCTGGTCACCAGCACGCCCACTGTCACGTCTGGTCGCCAGCACGCCCACTGTCACGTGCGGTCACCAGCACGCCCACTGTCACGTCTGGTCACCAGCACGCCCACTGTCACGTGCGGTCACCAGCACGCCCACTGTCACGTCTGGTCACCAGCACGCCCACTGTCACGTGCGGTCACCAGCACGCCCACTGTCCCGTCTGGTCACCAGCACGCCCACTGTCACGTGCGGTCACCAGCACGCCCACTGTCACGTGCGGTCACCAGCACGCCCACTGTCACGTGCGGTCACCAGCACGCCCACTGTCACGTGCGGTCACCAGCACGCCCACTGTCACGTCTGGTCACCAGCACGCCCACTGTCACGTGCGGTCACCAGCACGCCCACTGTCACGTCTGGTCACCAGCACGCCCACTGTCACGTGCGGTCACCAGCACGCCCACTGTCCCGTCTGGTCACCAGCACGCCCACTGTCACGTGCGGTCACCAGCACGCCCACTGTCACGTCTGGTCACCAGCACGCCCACTGTCACGTCTGGTCACCAGCACGCCCACTGTCACGTGCGGTCACCAGCACGCCCACTGTCACGTGCGGTCACCAGCACGCCCACTGTCACGTGCGGTCACCAGCACGCCCACTGTCACGTCTGGTCACCAGCACGCCCACTGTCACGTGCGGTCAAGAGCACGCCCACTGTCACGTCTGGTCACCAGCACGCCCACTGTCACGTGCGGTCACCAGCACGCCCACTGTCACGTGCGGTCACCAGCACGCCCACTGTCACGTGCGGTCACCAGCACGCCCACTGTCACGTCTGGTCACCAGCACGCCCACTGTCACGTGCGGTCACCAGCACGCCCACTGTCACGTCTGGTCACCAGCACGCCCACTGTCCCGTCTGGTCACCAGCACGCCCACTGTCCCGTCTGGTCACCAGCACGCCCACTGTCACGTGCGGTCACCAGCACGCCCACTGTCACGTCTGGTCACCAGCACGCCCACTGTCCCGTCTGGTCACCAGCACGCCCACTGTCACGTCTGGTCACCAGCACGCCCACTGTCACGTCTGGTCACCAGCACGCCCACTGTCACGTGCGGTCACCAGCACGCCCACTGTCACGTGCGGTCACCAGCACGCCCACTGTCACGTCTGGTCACCAGCACGCCCACTGTCACGTCTGGTCACCAGCACGCCCACTGTCACGTCTGGTCACCAGCACGCCCACTGTCACGTGCGGTCACCAGCACGCCCACTGTCACGTCTGGTCACCAGCACGCCCACTGTCACGTCTGGTCACCAGCACGCCCACTGTCACGTCTGGTCACCAGCACGCCCACTGTCACGTCTGGTCACCAGCACGCCCACTGTCACGTCTGGTCACCAGCACGCCCACTGTCACGTCTGGTCACCAGCACGCCCACTGTCACGTCTGGTCACCAGCACGCCCACTGTCACGTGCGGTCACCAGCACGCCCACTGTCACGTCTGGTCACCAGCACGCCCACTGTCACGTCTGGTCACCAGCACGCCCACTGTCACGTGCGGTCACCAGCACGCCCACTGTCACGTCTGGTCACCAGCACGCCCACTGTCACGTGCGGTCACCAGCACGCCCACTGTCCCGTCTGGTCACCAGCACGCCCACTGTCACGTCTGGTCACCAGCACGCCCACTGTCACGTGCGGTCACCAGCACGCCCACTGTCACGTGCGGTCACCAGCACGCCCACTGTCACGTCTGGTCACCAGCACGCCCACTGTCACGTGCGGTCACCAGCACGCCCACTACCTGTATGAGCAGGTGAAGTAGAATGTAAAAGTGTATTCAAAAGCGGCTTCTCAGAATTCTCCATAAATTAAATGCATCGGTTCCTTCTTCTTGTTGAAGCATCAGTTTAACTGTTAATTGTATTGTCAGGAAATGTTAGAAACTTAAGATTGGTAGAAGTTCTCATACTTGTAAGTCATAATTCTTCATTAATGAAAGCAGCATTACATACAATCAAAGACCTGTAATTTGGTGTGGTTGTTCATCAGACGAGGCGCTCACATACGTGCCAGCCGAGACATGACCTACAGGGGAACTAATCTTCTAAATTACCACTTTCATAATACTAAGCTAGTTAGTACCTGGTCGTCGGCGTCTCCGTAACGTAAGTGACTTTGTCTTAGTGAAGTGCGACTTAAAATATCTGGTTAATATATATCGGAAGCGTTGTGTGGTACCAGGTCAGCTTATGCAATCTTTGGTTGAGAAAGGACTAGCAAATTCTGTATTAAAGTTCCACTTTAGATAATAAGTGTTGTAAAAGGAAGTCCCTCATGGCGGTCAGTTATATAGCGCATTACAAGAATCTTTATTAAAACATATTACACTATTGTCCTGCTCCCTCTACAAATAAGAGGCATAACTGACCGGCCTCTCTCTGTGTTCAACAGGAAACTCGATTAACCCCTTCAACAAAATATATTTTGAATCTGGCTGTGATTCATACGTCAGGCTGCTATCAGCTGCGTCCAAAGGCCTGATTGACCAGACCATCAACCAAGATGGTCGATGGGCTGGTCAAGGACCGGGCCGCGGGGACGTTGATCCTCGGAATCACTGCAAGGTACCTTGCGGTTTTGTTGCGATGATTTCGGGGCTCAACGTCCCCGTGGCCCGGTCCTCAACCAGGCCAAAAGGTTGCTGGACTGGTCAACCAGGCTGTTGGACGCGGCTGCTCGCAGCCTGGCATATCAGGTATTCTTTTGGAGGTGTTTGTCGAGTTCTTTCTGGGACACTGTGAGAGACCAGCCAATTATGCTCCTTACGTGTAGCGGGAGTGTGTTGACAGATCTTTGGCCCTTGATGTTGATAGAGTTCTCCTTCAGCCTACCTATTACACCTCTGTGTAAATAGGTACGATACAGTACTATAGATGATATAGTATTATAGGTTGTGTCCTTGTCTATGTCCGATATGAGGATGAGAAAAATAACTGGAGTACTCTGGTGGAACACAGTACCCTGGGGGACTGAGCTACTCTGGTGGAACACAGTACCCTGGGGGACTGAGCTACTCTGGTGGAACACAGTACCCTGGGGGACTGAGTTCTTCACGGTTGATGGGCTGCCTTTTATTTTATTGACTATTCTACATTGGGTTCTGTTAGTCAGGAAATTGTAGATCCATCTGCTTATTTTTCCAGTAATTCCTTTTGAACGCATTTTATGTGCAATAACACCATGGTCACGTGTGTCAAAGGCTTTTGCGAAATCTGTGTAAATTACATCAGCGTTTTGTTTGTCTTCCATAGCATCTAATGCCATATCATAGTGGTCCAGCAACTGTGACAGGCAAGAGCGCCCAGTTCTGAAAACCATGTTGTCCGGGGTTATGGAGATGCTGTGATTCCATGTATTTTGTGATCTTACTTCTTAACGCGCACTCAAAGATTTTTATTGTGTGATGTTAGTGCTATCGGTCTGTAATTTCTTTCCTCTACCATATTTCCTCTACCACCCTCGAGTTGTGCTATCTCTGCGGTTTTTAGTATATCAGGTATAACACCGGTATCTACAGAATGTCTCCAAAGAATGGAGAATGGCTTTGGTCTCCAAAGAATGTGAAGGGCCTGCGATAGTGGTTTTTTACAGTTCTTGATGAATATGGAGTTCCAAGAATCAGGGCCTGGTGCAGAGTGCATAGGCATACTGTTTATGGCTTCTTCAAAATCCAGTGAGGATAGGGTGACGTCTGATAAATTATTTGATGTTGGTATCATATCCATGAAAAATTCATTTGGGTTGTCAATCTTTAGTGCGTTTAATGGCTCGCTGAAAACAGAGTCGTACTGCTTCCTCAGTAACTCGCTCATTTCTTTGTCATCAATGAAAGTTCCGTCTCCCTTTCGCAGGGGCCCGATACTAGATGTGGTTTTTGATCTTGATTTTGCATAGGAGAAAACATATTTCGGATTTCTCTCTCTTCCGCTGATGGCTTTTGCGCTGTTTGCCTCTCCTGGGTTTTGTATGATTCTTGTAGCTTGCGTTCAATTGTTTCTATTTCTCTACCTAACGTTCTTCGCCGTTCTTGAGATAGGGTGCGACTCTCAAGTTGTTTCGCGATTCGTTTTCTTCGCCTATTAAGGGAACGACGTTCCCGTTCCAATCTACATATCTCCAATTTTTTTTCTTTGGGGTATGCGGTTTGAGCATATATCTAGAGCTACTGAATATATTTTTTTCCAGGCACTAGTTCAGGTTTGCGTTTTCTAGCTGTTCTTCCTAGCTTATTTCTGTGAAGTCCTGGTTTATTTGTTCCCAGTTTATCTGTTTATTATTGAAGTTGAATTTGCTGAAATCTCCTCCACCGGGAATCGGGACTGGTTTTGAAGGTCTATTCCCCATGGTTGTCAGAACTTCAATTAAGTTGTGATCTGGATAATACTTATTTGTAATCATTGTTGCTGATCAATTCATCATTATTGGTGAAAATGAGGTCCAGCGTGTTTTCCTTCCTAGTTGGTTCTACTATTTGCTAGTTTAAGGCAGACCTGTCGCACATCCGTAGCAGGTCATTTACATGTGCCTGTTCATTTAGGCTACTTCCGGGTATTTTTCTGATATAACTGTATTTGCTACGTTCTTCCATTTCAGGTGCCGTAGGTTGAAGTTCCCAAACAGGGTGATGTTCGGGGCTGGATTTGTGAGGTTTTCCAAGCAGTGTTCTAGTTTCATTAGTTGGTCTATAAACTGCTGATGATTTGCCTCCGGTGACTTGTATACAAGGACAATAACTCCGTTTAAGATCTCTATTTTGATTATCAGCACTGACAGACAGACAGAGTGTCTGTCTATGTGGAGTTTAAATGTTTTACTGTGTGGTGGAGGGGTATGTCCACTCTCTAGAGTGGAGTACTGCTGCACAATGACAGTCCCTTTCAAAGCTGGAGAAATTGCTGACCTGGAGAGCGTGCAGAGATCCTTTACTGCTAGAATCCACTCAGTAAAACATCTAAGCTATTGGGACCGACTGAAGTGCCTAAATCTGTACTCCCTAGGAGCGCAGGCGGGAGAGATACATAATAATTTACACCTGGAAAGTATTAGAGGGACTGGTCCCAAACCTGCACACAGAAATAACACCACATGAGACCAGGAGGCATGGCAGGATGTTCAGAATATCCCCGTTAAAGAGCAGAGGTGCAACAGGTACTCTGAGAGAGAACTCTATCAACATAGAGGCCCGAGACTGTTCGACACGCTTCCACTCACAAGTGAACACAGGTGGAAACTGAGTATCCAAATGAGTTAGACATATTAGAAAGAACTTTTTCAGTGTCAGAGTAGTTAGTAAATGGAATGCATTAGGAAGTGAAGTGCTGGTGGCTGACTCCATACACAGTTTCAAATGCAGATATGATAGAGCTCGAGAAGCTCAGGAATCTTGCACACCAGTAGATTGACGGTTGAGAGGCAGGACCAAAGAGCCAAAGCTCAACCCCCACAAGCACAACTAGAAGAGTACCTCTGCTTTTCAACGGGGGTATTCTGCACATCCTGCCGTGCCTACTGGTCTCATGTGGTGTTATTTCAGTGTTCAGATTTGGGACCAGCACCTCTAATATTTTCCGCGGGTAGATTATTATGTCTCTCCCGCCTGCGCTCTAGGGAATACAGGTTTAGAACTTTTAATCGGTCCCAATAATTTAGACGACTAGAGAGTGTATTCTAGCGGTAAAGGACCTTTGCACGTTCTCTTTGCAGGCCTAAAGAGAAAGCTGTATTGGTGTCAAGCTTAATAAGATACAAGAGCTTGTTTGGTCAAGAGATGTAGGTGTCGAAGCAAGTTTATTGGGGCGGAGGCCAAAGATGTGGAGGAAGGTGGGGCCCAGGCTAGATATTGAGCGGGGCGTGTGTTGGCAGGGGCACCCGCTACACACACCAGTGGTGGGTGTTGGCAGGGACACCAGCTACACACACACACACACCAGTGGTGGGTGTTGGCAGGGACACCAGCTACACACACACACCAGTGGTGGGTGTTGGCAGGTACACCCGCTACACACACCAGTGGTGGGTGTTGGCAGGGACACCCGCTACACACACCAGTGGTGGGTGTTGGCAGGGACACCCGCTACACACACCAGTGGTGGGTGTTGGCAGGGACACCCGCTACACACACCAGTGGTGGGTGTTGGCAGGGGCACCCGCCACACACACCAGTGGTGGGTGTTGGCAGGGACACCCGCTCTACACACACCAGTGGTGGGTGTTGGCAGGGACACCCGCTACACACACACACCAGTGGTGGGTGTTGGCAGGGACACCGGCTACACACGCACACCAGTGGTGGGTGTTGGCAGGGACACCGGCTACACACACACCAGTGGTGGGTGTTGGCAGGGACACCGGCTACACACACACCAGTGGTGGGTGTTGGCAGGGACACCCGCTACACACACACCAGTGGTGGGTGTTGGCAGGGACACCCGCTACACACACACCAGTGGTGGGTGTTGGCAGGGACACCGGCTACACACGCACACCAGTGGTGGGTGTTGGCAGGGACACCGGCTACACACACCAGTGGTGGGTGTTGGCAGGGACACCCGCTACACACACACACCAGTGGTGGGTGTTGGCAGGGACACCCGCTACACACACACACCAGTGGTGGGTGTTGGCAGGGACACCAGCTACGCACGCACACCAGTGGTGGGTGTTGGCAGGGACACCAGCTACACACGCACACCAGTGGTGGGTGTTGGCAGGGACACCCGCTACACACACACACACACACACACACACACACACACACACACA